CATAATTTGCATATAATTTTGAGATGGTTCGTATATTTTAAGACTTTAGGTATTTTTTTACTCTACTCACATCAAAACATGCTTTTGATTTGCAAAGCCTGCTGCACTTCAAACATTGGAAAAGCTTTTTTGACATAATGAAAATTTCAAACTTTAATTTTGATAAGATAGCTGTGGTAAAACTAGCTCGCAAAAATCAATAAGCTTTATTGAATTGGAAAGTTAAGGAAGAGTGCATTTTGCTAGGTTAACTAAAGTTCCCTGGAATCTTATTCTTTCTCCCTTTTCCACTGCTATGCTAGTCATAGAAAATGAGTACTAAGCAACACTGCACTTCAAAGAAATATATTGTGGAGTTTACTTATTGTTTAAGACACATAAAAAAATGCTAACCTTCAACCATTGGCAATGGGGTGGTTTCTTAGCCCACAGAGGTTTGGAATGACATGCACAAATTTCAGTAAGTCAGGAGAACAAAAATGTTTTTAAGGCACTCCTGGTTTTCATGAGTATTATGTTCTCCATTCCAAGATTGTGTAGTTAAAAAAAAAAAAAAAAAAAAAAAAAAAAAAAAAAAAAAAAAACCACTTTTCCTCTAATATTATACCATTACGAATATTGGATGTCCAACTTTCGGACTTTGTACTGTAATAAAATATTTTATTACTGAAAACTTAATTCAACAGAAGTATTTAAAAGTACATGGTTTTGATTATTACTATGAAATAAATTTGTATATTTCCCCGAGATTAATTCTAAATACTTCAGCATATTCTCTCTCCCTAATAAGTTTTTATAAAACATTTTTCTTCACTTTTTACAATATTTTAGCACTTGAAATTTTTTTTTTCTTTCCCCTAAATCTGAATATTTTGCAAATCATTATGAATAAAATCGCATATACTGATTATTACGAAACAGAAATCTACTTTATATATACAGTTCAAAATTTTGTTTGCTTTTTTAATCTACGAGTTTATTAATTAAACAACATTAATTCTGAGAGATAAGCAAGGACCAGATGTAAATTGAATATGACATTTGTAACTTAAATTACTGATTAAAAATATTCATATCTACAATACAAAGCAATACTAATCATTTAACATACTGAAAATTCAAAACCGTGAAAAACAACCTTATATTTAGCGTAGGTATAATGAAACACTCAATCGATTTCGAGGGCAGCTAAAGGTCCCTCCTCATCAGGAGAAAGAAATACATAGAAAGAAGAAAATAGGAATCACAGAAACACGTGGTGCTTATCAGCACTGCACATCGTTATAACTAGATTTTTAATCAGAGTTGCACTGGCCGCCTACTTTTACTGAGCCAGGCTGTCTGATCAAGCATAAAGAAATATTAGCGAAGTTAAAATAGGGAGCGAGGGGCAATGCACATTACGCTCAAAATCTGAACTTCAATAATGGAAAGCAACCACTGAACGGATTTTTATACCCTCTGGTAGTACCAGTACAAGTGCGAGGAGGTACGCCATCTATCGGCAAAAATAATTGAATTAAGACAGTAGAATTTTAAAGGCATTAGGAAGGACTGGATTGGACTTCAAATCATTAACTAAACTTTCTAAATCTTTGTGAATGTGAAAAGCCTCAAGAAAATCCAATTCGCCTATGGAAGAAGCCTTTTGGATGATTTTTGCAGACCCAAATCAAAATTATGGTTTAAAAGTCCAGCTATGATACGCTATTGAAGACTTGTTAATTTCCCCTTTTTTGACATAAGATTCATGTTCCTTGATACGAAACTTCAACGCTCTTTTTTGTTGGCCAATATATCTTAAAACACACTGACATGATATACTATAAATTCTCCAAGAATTCAAGACAGAAACGCAATCTTTTAGAATCGAAGGGTGAATTTTATTAATAGGGGAGAAAACCGACTTGAAAATTGAATTCGTTTCTTCTGGAGAATCCGTGCAATTTTATAGCTAACAGAAAGGATAAAATGGAAGCACGACAAGGTCATTGATATTATTTTCTAACAGTGGAATGTCTTCTTTGATGGGAATCTGAAAATTTTTTGACGGCTTTATCAATAATCACACGGAGAAAAATCCACGGTCAAATCGCAACTGCTCTCAAATAATTAAGTTCATTGGTAAGCAAAGATTCAGAGGAACAAACTTTTAGCGCGCGGAAAACATAATAGTAAAAAGAAGCCATTTTTTGCTTAACAGGGTGGCATGACTTTGGCATGGGGTGGTAAACAACTGCAAAGGGTTTACGGTACACAGTGGTGGTGCTAAAATCGGTTTCATTGCGGATTATAGAATATCGAGTAATGAAACCGATTTAGCACCACTGTGTACCGTAAACCCTTTGCAGTTTGTTTACCACCCCATGCCAAGTCATGCCCCCTGTTAAGCAAAAAATGGCTTCTTTTTACTATTATGGTTTTCCGCGCGCTAAAAGTTTGTTCCTCTGAATCTTTGCTTACCAATGAACTTAATTATTTGAGAGCAGTTGCGATTGACCGTGGATTTTCTCCCGTGATTATTGATAAAGCCGTCAAAAAATTTTCAGATTCCCATCAAAGAAGACATTCCACTGTTAGAAATAATATCAATGACCTTGTCGTGCTTCCATTTTATCCTTCTGTTAGCTATAAAATTGCACGGATTCTCCAGAAATTCAATTTTCAAGTCGGTTTCTCCCCTATTAATAAAATTCACCCTTCGATTCTAAAAGATTGCGTTTCTGTCTTGAATTCTTGGGGAATTTATAGTATATCATGTCAGTGTGGTTTAAGATTATATTGGCCAAACAAAAAGAGCGTTGAAGTTTCGTATCAAGGAACATGAATCTTATGTCAAAAAAGGGGAAATTAACAGTCTTCAATAGCGTATCATAGCTGGACTTTTAACCATAATTTTGATTTTGGTCTGCAAAAATCATCCAAAGGCTTCTTCCATAGGCGAATTGGATTTTCTTGAGGCTTTTCACATTCACAAAGATTTAGAAAGTTTAGTTAATGATTTGAAGTCCAATCCAGTCCTTCCTAATGCCTTTAAAATTCTACTGTCTTAATTCAATTATTTTGCCGATAGATGGCGTTACCTCCTCGCACTTGGTACTACCAGAGGGTATAAAAATCCGTTCAGTGGTTGCTTTCCATTATTTTGAAGTTCAGATTTTGAGCGTAATGTGCATTTGGCCCTCGCTCCCTATTTTAACTTCGCTAATATTTCTTTATGCTTGATCAGACAGCCTGGCTCAGTAAAAGTAGGCGGCCAGTGCAACTTGATTAAAAATCTAGTTATATAACGATGTGCAGTGCTGATAAGCACCACGTGTTTCTGTGATTCCTATTTTCTTCTTTCTATGTATTTCTTTCTCCTGATGAGGAGGGACCTTTAGCTGCCCTCGAAATCGATTGAGTGTTTCATTATACCTACGCTAAATATAAGGTTGTTTTTCACGGTTTTGATTGTCACATTAGCGTGTTTCTCTTCTAGTCTATACTGAAAATCATTTAAATTTCATTTAGTATTATTTCTGATTGAAAAATTTGAATTTTGTCTTTTGAAAAATACAAATAAAAAAGATAATCATATTAGTTTTAAATTGCTATGAAAGGAAAAAATTTATTAATGAAAAATACATTACCAATATAATGTTTTGTTTATTACACATATACTTATTAAGAATACGCTTTAACTTTAATGTTGCTAAAACATATAAACTTGCTTTAACCTATTTAAAATACAAAAATGTGGTTGTTGACAGCAAGTCTTTATTCTAGGATCAGCTAATTTAAAAATGAAATAATTAAAAAAACTTATTATATTCTAGGGATACATGGAATTATTTCAATATAATATATGCCATGAGATAACCTATGAAGATTTGTATTTATGTCATCAAATTTTAACTGTCTCATTGACCCCCCTTTTTTTCCATACTTACTAGTGAAAAGTATACTTTTGGGAGTATCCAAACATACTCTAATGAATATCTAGTACAAAAGCAAGCATACTTAAAATTTAAAACTATGCAAAACTCTAACACTTACTTTATTTAAAAAAAATAAATAAATAAAAAATAAAGCCAAGAGCTTTTCTTTAAAACCAATATCAATAAAAAGTTGAATTTTGGCTAATGTAAAATTCTAAAGGCTATTTTATTCTTAATACTATTCATTTTAAAGAATTTTTTAATTAATATTCATTTTCACTTATTTGTGAACTATTTTAGAAGTTTATTTTCCTTTTGTACAGAAATTACAGCATATACAGAAGACACAGGAAGAAGGTATCTGTCTTAAAGTAAATGTTTGATACAAAATAAAACTATATATAAGCAATAAATCATATTACTGCTAAGTATATGCCTAAAAAATTATTGCATTTTTCTCATACATATTTTATTAAGAATATGTTTTAATTTTAAAGTATTAGGCAATAATTTAGAAATTATGATTTAAATGGTCATTATGATCTTTTAAACAGTAATAATAAAATATCTAAGATATTAAGCTAAGATATATTATCTTAGCTTAATATTATAGTTATACTTAAGTCACAATATTATAGTTATCAGTAATATTTTTGTCACTATTCAACTATATTAACATATCTGACAACTGAAGGATTACTTAATGCATTTCTATAGGTCAGTCCAAAATATGAGTTAATATTCTTAATAAGGTGCTTCTCAAATATTAATTTAAAAATCAAATATTTCATTAATGTGCAGCATACACTACTGTGTACAGGTTTAAGGTCTTGAGACACATAAAACTATTTCCAGCAGGTGAATTTTTGTAAAAAAATGTTGCAGTTGTCATATTATAGTTTAATACATACTTCATTGAAAAGATTTAAAGACATTGATTTTGTAACATGTAGAATGGAAGCCTTATAACAACACATACATCTATACAAATTGGAAGAAAGTGACTGGAAGTAGTAGAATAATTTCTTTTTATCTGAAAAATTATTGGAATAGTTGGCATCTCTGATGTAGTATTTTTACCTGGTAGGCTGAGTTTTAGGTTTGGGAACTTTGGCTAAAAGAGCAGGAACTTCTTTCTTTTCATCGAATTGCTTCCAAGCATCATACAGAGAAAGAATCTGTCTTGTTATTTCCAAAATCTGAAAATATTTCTTGTATTAAAACAGGTTTTTAATAGACAGTATTCTAAATATCATGATAAAATATTTATTAACTTTAATTTTAAAATAAGTAATTATTTAAAAAATATCATAGGAAAATTATAACCTAACCCATGATTTTTAAGTCACATTTAGCAATTATGTTGGATATAGCAACCTCTTACAAAATTGCTTTAAATTGTGCACTTGCAATGATTTTTTAAGAGATGATATTCCTCCCCCCTACAAAAACAGCCTTTAAAATATTTACAGAATACCAAAGTTTGTGATAATATTTATACAGAATAGCATAGGCAGATGGCCTCTTCAGAAAAACAATTTGTATAAGATTTCAGATAGAAAAATCGCAGGTTCATGACTTTATTATTTTCCAGAAACATCAAATACTCTTCTATACCAAACAGTCAAAAATTAAATGAACTATCTAAAGCTGTATCCTTGCAGTATTTCAAAATTCCTTTCTGAATAAAAAACAAATTGTTGTCATTTTCAATTTCCTTCCAATTCCAGATAACAATATATTGTGATGGCTTGATGCTATACATCTAAATACCCCAATAACTTAACAATTCATGTTACAGACACACAAAATAGACAATCACCTCAGTTTATCCTTTCTGCTAAGTCAGTTACTGAACTAACTTTGAAAATCCTGATATTTCCATGATTTGGTGCTATCCTTGTTTATTAACACAGTACTTTCGCATAAATTTATTTGTGAAATACAGTTGACATGGTTCGTACACATTTCTGCACACGAAAATTAAGTACTTTAAAGGGCCATTAATGAAAACAATTAAAGACCTATGAGCAAATAGGAACTGAATAAATTCAATTGAAAATATTATCTATGCCTGAATTTCCCTTTTGTAATACCATCCTAAAAATAAAATACGTAGGTTGGGGCAAAAGTCATGGCAGCTATTTTTTTTCTTGAAGATAGCAGTCCAGTTGGAAAACTTGACATATAAAGATGAAAGGACAAGGTCTCAACAACATGTGTGGACAATGAATAGCACTGAAATATCTAACACACGAATTTATTACGGTAGTATACAGGGCAATATGGCCTTCACCGTGCAAAAGAATGATAACACAATACACATAAAGTTAACATGGCCTAAAGACCCTCGATGTAGTCAGTCCCCTGCTACTGTCATCAAATGCTGCGAATGATGTGGGAGGCGCTGAATACCATCAGCCTCAACATTTGCCGCAATATGTGTGAATTGGGTCCTCTGTTGACGCACAGCATTTGCAATGTCCTCTCGTGTTGCAAACCACCTACCACGCATTGGTTCCTTAATTTTGTGAATGAGATCAAGGTCAGAGGAAAGAAGGTCAGGAGAGTACGGAGGGTGATTTAATTCTTACCATCTTCAATGTTAGAATAGCTGCCGTACGCACTCAGCTTTACGTCGTCTTGCATTGTCGTGCAGAATTATTGCACTGTCCTGCCATGAGGAACAAAGTGGCAAACAATGACATCTCTGATGTCATATGCAACAGTCACCATCAATTTGACTGGGGAAGGATTCTGACGGACCTTCTGCTGCCTTGGTGATCCAGGATGTCGTCACTCCACGGACTGACGTTTCAGTTCTGGTTCGTATGCCCTGCCCAATATTCATCGATGGCGATTATTCGTGACAAGAATTGATCGCCGTCCTGTTGCCAGTGTGCAAAGTGGTCGGAGTATATTGCATAGTGTACCCACCTTTGAACTTCCGTCAGTGAATGCGGTACCCACCACGAAGCTATTTTGCGTAGCTCATTATGCAATATCTTCTGGACGGTACGTTTCTCGATGCCACTTACCCTCTCCAATTCCAGTAACATCCATCATCTGTCTTCACCTATGAGGTGCTCGATGAAGGCATGTGCCAAGTCGGTCTGCACACTCACCGATCCTCCCGAACGTTGCTATCACTGGTTGACACACGTCCTTGCTGAAACATTCCTACCCACCGTGCTACTGTACAATATGGTAGGGCATTATTCCCAAGGGTTTCTACTAATTCACTGTAACATCCCATCGCATTTCTCCCGCGGAGAACAGCAATTTTGATGTAAGCGCGCTGCTCAACACGGTTACTTCCACCTCGCACAACACTCACCAACCAACTGATTTCAGAGCCCCCGCTACCACACAGCCATCTGTTGTTCTGCATACACACTATGCCTACAGAACTTCCACACGACACATATACATTTTGTGATCCGTTCACATATCTAAAAGAAAAAAATAGTTGCCATGACTTTTGCCCCAATCCTTGTAGATCCCTAAGTAGTATGCATTATTATTAAACATGAATTAATTAACTGTTAATACGTTTTAGAATAAAATAAACTTTATGCAATTTATCAAGTGGCATTAAATATTTTACACTTGTTGACACAGTTGATCATATTTGAAAGAAGATAAGTGACATTTGCATTTTACCAACAGTTAGCCGTGTGTTGATTTTTTTTTATATTTCATTTTGTCGCAGACTTGGTCAGTCTAGAGGTTTAGTAAAAAAGCAGGTAGATTTTATGTCAAATGCCATACGTTAAAATGAAAAATAAGATCATAATCAGCATGATTCATAACAAAAGACTGAATTTAACAAAAGACTGAAAAAGAACTTAGAACATAAAGGCATGTTCTGATGCTAACAAAGAATTTAGAATATATAGCAGGGATTGGAAGCAGAATTTAGAAAGGTACTAGGCAGCAGAATTTCAGATCCACAGAGATTGCATCAGGTGGGAAAATGCCTAGTGCCAGCTATGTGTATGATGCATTAAGACATATTAGATGAATCTTTTAAATTGTAAGTTTTCAATTTCTTTATTAATAAAAAAATCCCATTCTATAATGCCTGCATATGTGATAAGATTAGAAGCATTTTTGATATTTTCCATGCTTGTGTCTAGTGAAAAGTAGAGAAAATAAAGGTATGATAAACATATTAAGATTCTAGTATCAGAAGTAAAACATTCAAATATTACATTCTCGTTTTTCTTCTAGACATTCTCCAAAAAGTAAGAAATTCATTGCAAACTTTCTGTAAAATACATCCATTACGCATTCATACCATGGAGACATTTTTCATTTTGTCACATATTTCTTGAATCTTCTAGAATCACTGGTCTATAAATCTTGCCTTCAAATAATTCTAAACTTTCCAAGTTGCAATGTCTAAAATCCTAAAGAAAAATTATCCCTAACAATTCTGTAACAGAAAAAAGACAGAAATATTTTGGAAAAAAAAGGAGGGAGACGTATAAAATTAATTTTATAGAGAAAACCGATGCACATTCTGAGAATTTTGAATATTCTAAAACAATTACATGATAAAAACTCTTACTATGAAAAAAAATTAAAAACAAGACATTTTTAATTAATTACACAGCTAATTTTGCTTTTGCTAAGAGCTGTTTTGTAAATTGTGCTTTATAGTATTATACCTTGTTTATTTTTCAGATTCAAAATATTCTATAATAAGTTGCCAAAATGAAAAAAAAATTTATAATAAAACAGCAAAATATAAAAATGTTTTATTTTAATTTTATTTTTAAATATAATTTCAATACATATTATTTTAATGAAATTTATCAATGTCATGCTGTTTTAAAAACAAATCGTCGAAAAATTGTCAGATCCCGGAATTAAAAAGTTTCTATAGAAACTAATCTTAAAATTGCCAAAATGTTGGAAAGTCGCGAAATTTAGAACCGTTTAATAAAAGAATTCACATCTCCAAAAGCGAAAAGTTATTTAAGAGCTCTTTATTAGAAAAAATTAATTTCGAAATGTTTCACTTCTTGCTGAAAAACTCGAGTATCCCATCATTTATATTAGAAATAGAAATAAATTATAACTCATGAACCCATTCAAAAGATAACCATATTTACGGCAGTGAATCGCCAAAAGTATTCCTCCAAAATGCTAATTCACACTCAAAATGACAGTCGTAAAAACAGACAGAAATTTCAGATGATTAAATTAAGGACCTTCTGCTAATTTTGGCCAAAATTAAGGACTTTTAAGGTAAAAAAATCTAAGGATTTTTACGGACTCTTAAGGACCGTACGAACCCTGAGTTAATACATTGATTACACTTAAAACAATACAGCCATTTTTAATGAGCACAATTTTTGTCAACTTTTACAAAATGAAAGCCTGTTCAAAGCAATCACAGAACCCAGACTTTGATAGTTCAAGATATACATTTGCACTGGAAGCTTATTTTTTACGAATTTTTTAAAATTAAATATTAAATATTTTTTATTAAATATGACGTGCACCCAAAAATTTAATGAGAAAAATATGAAAATCATGTATTTATTTACTCAACTAATAAGAGCTTGCATACATTTTTTTAAAGTTAGACCAGCTATATCATATTCACTTTGGGCAATTTTTCTTTTCCTGAGAATTTTTTTAAAGCTACATTAAGTATGTTTTGTAGTTTTATAATGCATGGAAATAAACAATATGGAAGAATGAGAAGTGCCCAGTAAATTTTGTAACAAACTTCATAAAAGTTATACACAGACTCACAAAGACACTTTCAGTGAAAACGCTTCTGTTCAAATGGTAACCTATCAATGGTTTAATCTTTCAAATGTCTCTCAAAGTAAGTCCACAGAATGCTAAAAAAGACTGTGAAATCATCCTGCAGATCATTACCAAAAAAATCTATAATATCTGTGAGATTGCCAAATTACTTTATTGCACATGTCAGCATATTTCATCAAAGGAACTGAATATAAAAAGAGCAGTTGACAAATTTCTGCCACCATTGCATTCTATGTAGCAATTTTTGGCATCCAGTAACAAAACTGACTTTCCATCTCTTTACTTAACTAGATATAACTCCTTACAACAGGCTCATCTTATTTAAAATAAAAATGATGCTAGAAAAGAAAAGATTCAATTCAGAAAAAATCACTAGTAGTACCGAATGGTATAATAAAAGATGGCTTTTTAC